CAAAACAACAAGCCAATATGTTGAACTAAAGATAAACAAAAAACATATGAACTCAAACTAAGAACATGTAAATAGTCAAAACAACGAACTGAACAAAAGCTATTTTGCTAGTCACACAAACTCAGAATCTTTAGTCACATCTAGAAAAATGAATGACTCAAGTGATAATCAGAATAAGTCTAGACAATGGTCTGACCTTTTTGCAAAACTATGAGAAGGAAAGGCTACTTTCAAACAAGAAGCTTCCAAAAACAAAATTTTGTCTAAAAATGAAAATGCTCTTATTTTTGACATCTCTAACCTTAATAATATCTCTACTAACAATATTATTCTTGCTCTAGCAAACCTTCTTAGAGAGAAACTCCTAGTCACTAAAACTCACTTCAGTAGAAACAAAAGAATATATCTTGAGGTGGTATTTAAAGAAGAGTCACAACAACAGTTCTATACTACTGAAAGCCTTAACATCTTTAAACAAACTATTTTTAGCTACATTCCAATTAATCTTAAACATAATTTTCTTTCTGTCAAATTAAGAAATACTCCTCTTAGAGATATGAACCAAACTAGCTATCTAATCAAAGAAGTATTTGTAGATTTTGGCACTATTGCTTCTATTGAACCTCTTTTCTTTGAAGGAACCTCAGTTTGCTCAGATCAGTGAATTTTCACTTTCAAGACTACAGAAGATCTAGACTTAGCTAAAAAGCTTCTATGATCAACCTATATTGGAAACTATAAAGTTACTACTAAATGGAGAGAAGCTTCAAAAATCTGCTACTACTATAAAAGAGAAGTGCATGTTAAAAAAGATTGCCAAGATCTCAAAGAAGTAATTAAACTTCATAATCACTACAAAAAGCTAAAAATAGCAAAAAAACTGAGCAATAAGACTTCTGAATGCCAAACTAGCACAAACTCTAACAATCTTTATACTCAGGAAAACAAGTTACCTGAACCTCAACCTTCAACTACTACTTCAAAAGAGCAAACTAATACTTTAAAAGAACATAGCATTGCATCTCAAAGTTCTTTTTTAACCACTAGAACTAATGAGAATACCAATGCAAAAACTGACCTAAGCTCAGACATAATGGATGTAGACTACAAATCTCAAGTCTAAGAAAAAGTGTCTACTCTAGCAATCTCTAAAAACAAAGCTATAAATAAAGAAACCTTACACTCAACAGTTGATTCTACTACATAGAACACAAGGATACGTCCTTTAGAGACAACCATATACTAAAGGATTTCTAACTTTTTGCAAATCCAATCTTTTATTACAATTTCTATGAAATATATCAAATTGGTAACTCTAAATGTGAAAGGCCTCAATAACAAGGCCAAAGCTCACAAAACTTTAATTTTACTAAAATTATATAATTTAGATATAATCGCAATTCAAGAAACTAATTTAAATAATCCTAATACTAGAACTTTCTTAGCTCAACAATAGGGCTTTGACTCTTTTTAGACTTCTAAAACTAAATTTTGGCTAGCAAAAAACATATCAAAATCAAGAAAGCAGAAGCAATACTTGAGGACTGAGTAATTCTAGCCAAAATATCAGTAAACAATTTTAACTTCTTAATCATAAATGTCTATGCTCCTCCAAATCCTAAAGACAGACTAACATTTTTCTCGAATTGGTTTCCTCGAATTGGTTTCCTCATATTGACAAAAGCCTTATTAATATACTTGCTAGAGACTTCAATATCAATCTGAATACTCAAAAAGATAGAATAAGCCAAGCACCAGCTCAAAATGATCCTTCAAGAGCTTTGCTGTAAAACTTAGTAACGGATTTTACTGATTTAGCTAGTAACTTTGAGAATCAACTATTCATTACCTTTTATCAAAATACACAAGGCAACTAGTGAATAGCAACTCAACTAGACTATATCTTTATAGATGCAAACTTTAGTCA